AAGGTCCGTCAACAGGCAGGTGACGAGTGTATTGCTCAACTTAGCAAGTACAACTCTCCTTTGATCATGGCTACTTCAGGATCGAAGGGTTCCAGTATCAACGTGTCGCAGATGGTTGCCCTCGTCGGTCAACAAATTATCGGTGGTCAACGTGTGCAAGACGGGTTCCAGGATAGAACACTGCCCCATTTTCCGAAGAACGCTCGACAGCCTCCGTCAAAAGGTTTCGTGCGCAACAGTTTCTTTTCTGGACTGTTGCCTACCGAGTTCATTTTCCACGCAATGTCTGGTCGTGAAGGTCTTGTCGATACTGCTGTCAAGACAGCAGAGACTGGTTACATGTCCCGTCGTCTCATGAAGTCTCTCGAGGACCTTTCCAGTAGATACGATGACACTGTCCGAAACTCTTCAGATGCCATCGTTCAGTTCCAATATGGTGACGACAAGTTGGACCCCGTCGATATGGAAGGTAAAGCCAAGCCTGTCCACTTTGACCGGACCTTTATTCACGCCGAGTCCATCACGTACGATAATGACGAGCGGAGTCTGCTTCCACACGAAATTATGGAAGTATGTGAAGAGATGCTTTCCAAGGAGCGTGCGAAATTAGTTCGCGAAGATCTGGTGGGCAATAAGCTTTCTTACATGGACAGAAGCGACCACGGTGTTGATCAATTTGAGAGCGCGCGTGACTTCCTTGAGTCGATTCAGCAATACATTTCCAGCAAAGCTGATAAGCTGATCTCTCGTGGAGGTGATATTGATCCGTCAGACGAGAGGAGCCAGAAGGGCCTGAACCACACCGGAAAGCTGACAGAGAAGACACTCAGAACCTTCATTACATCATGTTTGATGAAGTATAAGAAGGCTCAGGTCGAGCCTGGCCACGCTGTTGGTGCTGTTGGTGCGCAGTCGATCGGTGAACCGGGAACTCAGATGACTTTGAAGACCTTCCACTTTGCTGGCGTTGCTGGTATGAGTATTACTCAAGGTGTTCCTCGTATTAAGGAAATTATCAACGCATCCAAGGAGATCAGTACCCCTGTGATTTCCTGCGACCTAGTCACCAAAGACAATGTCATTGCGGCACGTATCGTCAAGGGACGTATTGAAAAGACATATCTGAGGGATATTATTCACTATGTCCGAGAAGCCTGGACGGGCAAGGAGGCCTACCTTACTGTCAAGATTAACTGGGAGACCATTCAAAACCTGGCGCTTGAGCTTAAGATCAGGAACATTGTCGACGCTATCAAGAACCACAAGCGTTTCAAGGCTGATGATCTGAAATTCCGAAGCACAAATTCTCATATCCATATCTACATGGACATTGACCCTGCCAGCAAAGTGTCTCTGTCCAAGACCGAAGTCGCAGCAACCAGTGCTGATCCTTTCCTCCGCCTCAAGCATCTCAAGCGCATCCTTCCCGATATACAGGTGCTAGGTCACCCGCAAGCAAGCCGTGCCATCATCCGGACCGACGATACCTCCAGTACTAATACCCTCCTTGTCGAAGGTTACGGGCTCAAGGAGTGCATGACCACGCTTGGTGTCAATGGTCTCCGCACTTCTACCAACAACGTCATGGAGATGCGTGATGTTCTTGGTATTGAAGCGGCCAGAGTCACGATTGTCCAAGAAATCAGCGAGGTCATGAAGGACATGGGCATTGACCCTCGTCATATGCAACTTCTTGCTGATGTAATGACGTACAAGGGCGAGGTCCTTGGTATCACCCGATTCGGTCTTGCGAAGATGCGTGACTCCGTTCTGCAGCTCGCTTCCTTCGAAAAGACTGCGGACCATCTCTTTGATGCTGGTGGTGCTGGTCGTACCGATCTTATCGAAGGTGTCTCCGAATGCATCATTATGGGTAAGACCGTTAGTCTGGGTACCGGCGCCATGGAGGTCGTGCGTAAATTGAACTTCTTCGAGGGCCAGATTGGTCGGAAGAAGACCACTTTTGAAGACGTCTGGACCGAGGTGTACGAGGAGCCTGCTGATGCTCAGAAGGGGAGAAGGGTCAAAAGGAAAACCCGAGCTTGATCTCTTTATTCCAGTGATATTCTCTTGACGGCCCATGAAGGGAGAGGAGCGAAAAACTTTGCATTCTACGGCGTTAGGTACTCTGTGATTGTACATGTAGTGTTATCCTTTCTGTGCATTAGCGATACCGTTAACGAAATGATGGATGGCGGCGTGGCTGTTTGACCTCTACTATTCTCATCTTTGTCAATAGTCAATTCTACGACTTATTTCAGAACTTTCGATCACATCAATTATATATGGGTGGTATTTTCTTGATATATAATGCATTGAAGCTGCCCGTAGCCTTCCACAAGCAAGTACCGCATGTAGATGGCGGTGATGGCTCCAGCCAAGACGCGATGCGGGGAAGATGGAGAGCGTCCTTAGCTTGGGCGAGCATTCTTGACATGACAACTTCCCACCATGCGAGCTCCTGTATCCGCCCCTTCGACATGGCTGCAGTGCCGCAGAGGACATTGAACTGGCTATACAGTGTGCTGACTCGGGTTCGTTCCGACTTTCAATTGTCTCCAGCGTAGAGAAATACTGACTTTTCCAGGATCACTACGATCCCAAGCAAACCTACCAGGATCCCAATCGCACTTACTACGATGTCGCCAATGTCCTCGCACAATATCCCTCACTGTCCCCCCGGACGGATGTGTACAGTAAGGTCTCACGCTACATCGAAATTGGGCGTTTTCTTTCCTTTGACAATATTCAACCTGGAATTCTTGGTGCTAATGAAGGTCGTTCATCCCGCAGCATACGAAACCGGTGTCTCTGCCTTACTCCTCCAGCTGACAGGCACAATACCAGTGTCATTTCGCGGCACCGTCTACAAATTCCCAATCGCATTATGGATTCCGAACACCTATCCACGCGAACCTCCAATGGTCTACGTAACTCCGACGCCGGACATGGCCGTTCGAGTAGGGCAGCATGTGACGCTGGAGGGAAGAGTGTATCATCACTGTCTCGCGCACTGGGCTGAGGCATGGGATGTCCGTTTGCCTGATCCCTTTCATTGGATTCTTCTCCAGAGGACCCGTGACTGACTTACGCCATCTTATGCAGAGATCAAACCTCGTCGATTTTCTGATGATTCTTCGGGAGGTCTTTGCGAAGGAACCGCCGGTCAAGTACAAACAACCACAGGTACCGCAAGGACCTCAACAGGCCGGGCCTACGCAGACACCGCCCCCTTTGCCTCCTCTGCCGCCAGAGCTAAGTTCGTCGACGCATCGACCTTCGCCGACCCCTCAAAGCGCTCCGTCGCAGCCGACTGGGCTGGTGCCGCCGCCCCCTCCTCCGAAGCCGGGGCAGGCCGTTGCTGCTGAACAACCGCAAGTACCACAAGCCGGGAGGTACAACCCTCCTCCTCCTCTACCACCGTTACCGCCAAGAGAACAAGATCTACGACGTCAATCGTTGCAATTCCATGCGAACATGGGCGGTCATATCCCCAACAGGTCTTTCCAGTACCCTCCTGAGCGAAGTGGTGCACCTGGAGGGACACCGGGCTCGTATGGGTTGCCCAATGCAGTCCAGGCAATTCCAGCGTATACGTCCAGGCCACCATATCAGCCAGGCGATGGTGGCCCGCCCAGAAGTCCCCCGCCTGCCAGCCTACCGCGGGGACCTCAGCAGCCGCCGTTCCCTGTGCAACAAGCGCCTGCACATCCCTCATTGTACCAGCAGATTGGTACTCGGTACCAGCAGCCACCGCAGCCGGTCATGCAGCCTCTACCTCATGGCCAACCGCAGACGAATATTCCTACCCACCAGCCATCGCAGAAACCAAAGTCACAGACGCCGGATCTCCTGACCTCACCCTTCGAGCTTGAACTTCCTTCATTCACGCCCACAGGTCCCGCACCACCGATCCCGCCAAACCCTGAGAAAGACGCTCTCCTGCACGCTGTGTCAAAGACACTCGCCGAAACCGTCCAAGCCAACGTCTCACAGTCCGAATCCGCCGCTCAGTCCCTCCTCTCTCAGTCCCAGTCCCTTCAAACCGCCGTCGCAACCTTACAAGGCGAGATCTCCTCCCTCAATACTCTCAACTCAACTCTTCAGTCCAACACCTCCATTCTCCAGCAATCCCTCCACCGTGCAGACGGCGTCATCGCAGCCGCACAGGCACGCATCTCCTCGTCCACTGCTCAAGGCCATCCCTCAAGCTCGGGCTTAGACGCGGCACCATCAGCTCTGCCGCCCATCGATGAGGTTCTCGTTGCTCCTACCGTGGTTGGTAAGCAGCTTTATGACCTCGTCTCCGAAGAGCGAGGAATCCAGCAGGCTATTTACGCCCTGCAAGCTGCTTTAGTCAAAGGAGTCATCGGTGTCGACACGTGGTCGCGGCATACGCGCAGTTTGGCGCGTGAAGCGTTCTTGAAGCGGGCTCTGATTGGAAAGATCGGAAAGGGGATGGGGCTTGAGGAGACTTAATCCATGTCTTTTATCTTTCATCTTTGTAGCTTATAGAAAGGGGCGGTGCTTGCTTCCAGAGAATGTTTCTGCACTGATTACTAGAGCGGAGCATTTGACAATTGCAATGTTGATACCCATATTACGACCTGCTGCTATAAATTAGCCGATCTAAAGCAATGTGTGCATCGGCATTTCCTACTACACTACTGTTCAATGTCACTACCTAGGTGGTCACATCGGTCCACAGCTTTCTTTCATTTTAAAAGGGTCGCTTCACAGTGGACCACTGACTTCGATTCTCGTTTCTCTCAGGTCTCTGTCAGGATGAGCCACACCATCCCGGATATCACTACTAGCTGAGGACGTACCGTCATGGTTCCCTTTAGCCCAGTGGTCTGATCCTGACACTCTACCCTGTTAGTAATCCAGCATATTTTAGCATCGAGGTGTTAAGCTCGCACCACTCTCTTGCCGGTGTTCCATCACTTGGTGATAGTAATGAGGCTTTCCCAGGACCTGAAGAAGCCCGGATCCCTAAACTACTCCATGAACCCCTGCTCCAGCCAGATGTTCTCGGCAAGACGCCGGAGATTGCCCTTGTCAAACTCAATGTTGACTTCCCGGGGGATGCGTGCTTCTCGCAAGAACAGATCCTCAAATTCAATAACGAGGGGCTCGTTATCGAACAAGGTATCTTCATTGTGGCGCCAGACTATCACCTTCTGTGCCATTGCTGGCTTTCCGTTGCTGACCTTCCACTTTTGTAGCACGATCTCTGGAATCCGTCGATTTACTGATATTGCTAGGGAGATTTTGACGTCGCCTTCTGACTCCTCGAGCCAGAAACGCGCGTCCTCCTCGAGCTTTGACTTCCGTTGGGAGACCCCAACCTCTAACACCACCGTTGGCCATTTTCGAGAACAGCCGGCCGGGGGACGCCTGGGACCCCAGCCATTATCAGGTACTTTGGCCCGGTCATCTCCCCGGACCGTGGTGCCTGAGAAATTTTTCAAGGCTGTCGACAGTCCCATCCGATCGACCGCTTCCTTCAGGATATAATTGAAAGTCTGCGTAGCCTCAGTATGCTCGGGAGTTCCCATGGCGATTTCAACGAAGAGAAGTTGAAGGGAGTGATTATATGATTTCCACTGCTTGCTCAGATCGGTTTCTTCTTCGAAGTCGCGTTCGAAAATGGTTTCGGAGACGTTGGAAAAGACTATCCAGTCGCAGGGAGATGAGCGTTCAGGATCTTTGAATTGATGCAGCTCTGAATCGACGATGTTCTGGAAATGATCGGGGCCTTCCCATGGATAAATATTGACTGTTGGAGGAAGACCCTCCAGGGCGTCGCTTCCCCAGAGCTTGCCGTCGCTTCTAGATCCTGTACTAACCATGTTGGAGTGCTCATACGGGTAAATGATTCTTACATAGAGACGGGATATTTAAAGTGGTGTGGTGACTACCTTATATTTATAAGAATTAGAATTGCCTCATGATGATGGCATTATCAAATGCAGGTGAAACCCATGTATATCCTTTCTAACCGACCCTTCCGCCTAAATTCAGGATCGGTTATTGAGTATGCTACGGTGCCTAGATAAGTGGAGACTAAGCTTGATGCCTGAACCTTAAGGTGAAATCCCATGGCTGCCTAGGACCCACATCGTGTATATAACTTAAACCTTTTTTCATCTACTTCTATCTAATCTATCGACTACCCAACCGAGATATGAAACAGGTTGTACTTGTTCCAATATAGGTAACTATTGACTATATTATGGCATTGCCCCAGAGTCCCTTTCAAGAAGAGAAACTGACTGATAAACAGATTATGATGGCAGAAGAACAGCTCAATCCGGATGACGAGGGACTGGACAGGCCGTTTCGTTTCATAGTCACTGGCAAATACCTTGCTGTTCGCTATGAGGACAATAGCTTCACTCTACACCGTGATTATCATGGCCATGGGAGCCTGTTTTATCTCTCGGATGATGAAATCCACATAATCAGAGATCGCGCATACGTTGGCCAGCTTAACGGTCATCCCAGCGACGAGGACAATGTGTTTCACATCTGCCGTGGGTCACAGTACCTCTCGAGAGAGGGGCGTTGGACGGACAATATCGATGAAGCACTTGATGTTCAGATCGACCCAGCGGACCCATACAGGACCGACAGCGCTGATAGTGCTCCGATCATATCTCTCCCCGAGCCAATCATCAATCCCGCTCATCCTGTTTCCGCAGACGGAATCGACCTTTACCATCCCGATAAGCAGTTTGCTCTGTATCCAGTTACTCGCGACGGCCTTTGGTACGGTGATGCTAGTAATTTCAACGGCAAGCTCATCTTCGGCGGCAATCCGTACAGCGCCGGAATGCCATTTCAGCTTTCGGTACATGAAGGAAGGACGCGGATCCGCGCAAACGACGGCATGTACCTCACCGTCTTGATGGAAGATGATCTTGTCCCGTACCTGAAAGAGGAATGCCGGCAGCATTCCAGGGTCAGTTCGTGCGCACATTGTTCAACATGGTACAACCTTGGCTTCCGTTCTGAGCCCGATGATTGTCTCGCTCTGATCCCCCGCGGTCTGCCTAGCATGTTTGTCTTGTATGACGGGGCTTTCTACTACAGCATGAATGTCCTCAAGGCAAGTTATGCCGAGACCGAGCGCGTTAAGCACATCGAGGAGGCATCGCTCTTTCAATTTGTTGGCTAGTTGTGTCAGTGTGAAAGAATTTCTGATCAAGAGTGCTTAAATAGGCCACAGAGCCGGTTCCTGCTCTGTATTTCTACTCTGTGGGACTAGTCCACTGATATAGGATAATGGTATTTTAATCTTGCAGGTGGCGGCAGAAATAAAGGATATTTTAAGAAAGTTAGAGAGAAGGGTAGATAATCTTAATTAACCTAGTAAACAGTATTTCTGTCCTCTCTAGCTAAGTTGATCACTCTTATTAATCGAATCTCTGTGGGCATGCTAAGCACTAGCCTCTACATTATGACGTGTCAACTTCATTCTGGGTGGTGCAATCATATCCTGGGCTGATATGGCCTATGAGGACGTCTGATGCTCTCTATTGAAGTCAACAGCTGCTAAGGAGGGCGCTAAGGAGCCGGTCACAACTGGGCTCGTCTTTGATCTAGCCATTGTATACGCATGCTCCGTGAGTCCGCCTTGTATCCGCATGATCTTATCCATTAAATGCAGGATCTGCCCTCCTCGAGCCTTATATCTTTCCCTTCTCTCGTTGCAAAGTTTCGCCACGTCGTCCGCCAAAGGAGCTTCTTAACTTTGGACGACTGTGATCACGGTCTGGTATACGTCCAGTACAAGTCTATAGTTCTACTGGTTGGCACTAACTGGCCCCGGCGTAGCTTCTCCTGCCTATTTGATATTCGTCGAACCTGGGTTCTGGTCCAGAACATAGTAAGCTCGATCATCAAAGTACCGGATCAGCATAATCCATCCATTATACTAACCAATGAGCACAGGTTTCAACATGACCGCCGACGACGACGAAACACAAATACTTTCGGAGATGGAAAGACAAAGGGCTGAGGCAGCTCTTAGGGAAGCGGCTGCCAGAGCGGCTGCTGAGAAGCAGGCCCGGGAGGACCATGCAGCAGTTACGAGAGGTCTCACAGACCAGGCGACGATGCAACAGCTATCATCGTCGGGACATGACGCCCAGAGACGACGAAAAAAGAATTAAAGTGACCGAGACGGCGTGAAAACCTATATTTTTGACAATGGATTCAATGAGAATTGTTGCTGCCTCAATATCAGGTGCCATCAGAACTGTTTTGGAAACGCAGACGTAGCTCATTTTCGTAAACCTCCTTGTCTTTCAATTTTCCCTCCAAGATATCCTTGGTATCCGCAGCCCAGTACTCGGATACTATCCTCGAGAAGTCTGATGGATCAGCGCTCTGAGATGGTGCGAACTTTGGCTGGATATGGTCACGGAAAATGTTGAATAGGCCCTTGGGGCTATCCAAGGCTTGGAAGTACCAAAAGTTCCCGACTTTCCAGCCTTTTCTCAGGATATTTGTCCGGTAGTTGCTGGAATTAAATAGAGGCGGATATCGCTTCTCTTCCTCCTCAAAAATTTCCATGAACTTGTCGTGTGCTTTGCTGAATGTGTCAAGACGTTCACCAAGAATGTCGTCTGCAGCATGACCTGTCAACCAATACGGAGGGCGCAAGGTCTCAGCTGGAAGTGAGCATGCCCACTCAAGGTCGACAAGATATTTGATATGCCATTGATTGTCGACAAAGATGTTGCTTTGATGCAGGTCAGTGAGTCTGTAGAAGAAAGGTCCCTGGCGGAGCTCTCGGTCGGTGAAGAGAGGAAGAAGCGCCCGCATGATGGTCAGGTTCGCCACCTGGGCACGTCCGTCTTCCTCATCATGCATGGAGTTGGGCTGGTGCCGTATACGACTGTCGTGACAGGACAAGATATCGAGGTAGCATGAGTCGGTTGATGGATAAGTCAAATTCCGACCGATGTTAGTCGGGATACCAGCATTTTCCAACTGATGAAGGCGAAGAGTGAGAGGTCGATTGGAAAGTTGTAATACTCCATTTGAGTCTATCGTCCAGGATCCTATCCGCGGCAATGGACGCTGGCTCAAGGAAAGCATAATGCGAGATAAGTCCCGGTAGAAGTTAGCTGTTTTGTTGGGATCATGTGGAAACTCGTCCCATGTTTCTGACAGCATCTGCACCTCTGGCTCGTCAATATAGTCCATAACAAGGTAGCCGTGCTCCAGCACATGCTGACGACGATGGCTTATATAGGGGCAGGGTAGCGGGAATCCCAAGAGCCATGATACGTATCGCTTGAAGTGCCAAATTACCCTGGTCGTCACAGGCATGTTTTCGGGTCTGGTAAACTGTGAGCAATATTGTCAGTCTGTAAGTTGAGGGCCTCATGTGTTCGAATGGCATACAGTCTGACCCCCAGCAAATCCAAATCCCCAAAGGCGAGGGAGCGGGATATCAGGGTGATGCTGTCGTATCCAAATGAAGGTGGCGGCCTCACAACGGAGCTTCTCATCGGCGTTTCCAGGATAAGCCGATTCTCCCACTTTGTACGGCAGAGGAAATCGTATGAGGACCCTCTTGGCCGAACATCTGTTCCAATTTTCGACATAAACTGGGATGCAGACGTTGAAGCTGCCGTGTATCCACTCCTTCACTTCTCCCAAGCGACAATGGTTGGATTGACCGAGTCCCAAATGGTCTGAAACAAGTTCTGCAATCTCGTTGCGATGACTGTAGAGAAATACAAAAAACTCTATCCGAGAATCTGGATAAGACAGGTCGAGAAGCATATCCTCTTCCTGCTCAAGGGCTTCTTCTAATGTCATAGAGCCCCGAAGGAGCGGAAGGCTCAATGTCTGACTAGTCATCACAGCGTAGAGTCGGCTTTTTTGTAGGTAAACACAGACGGGCAATCAATCACTTATTCAGAGAATGATTCGAATAGAACAATATCAAATTGCTCACACCATGATATAGCTAGCCCATAAGTTGATGACTATTAAAAGGGGATAAGATTGTAGGATGTTTTGACCACATGACTATATATGTATCACGTGATTGTATCAGAAGTTGTTCAACTTCTTGTTCATCGATTGTCCCATGCTGCAGAAGGAACCTATGCTCGTCCTGCGTGCGGAAATACCCTCGGCATACCTTGTTACATTACATCCCAACCAAGAGTATGGACTCCTGAGGTACCTAATGTGCCTTATGATAAGAGTCGACTTGATCAAGCAGGGTCACAGCAATTGACGAATCTTCGATGAGACTATCAGACTCCTGCACAGGTTTGGCGAATGAAATACGCATAAGATTGAAGAAAGGGCAACACCAAATAATGTGCTGACCGCCAAAGTCAGGACAGCGGTTTCAAGTAAATAGCACCGCACGCAACAGCTTTAGTTCCTAGGTCTATGGTATCCGGTATTCCAGTTGTTTTGTTAGGATCAACTCTTCCAAAGGTGATGAGGGGTTCGTCTGAAAGCAGAAGAAATTGACCAGCAGCGAATGAGGAGATGAAGGCGGGACAACAGTGTTCGACTCCTGATTGCTGACAAAAAACCCGACACTGTGATGTGCGGGCTCACTCTAGCTGTGTCTGCACTGTGTTCTATACGACGGCCATGTTCTGTACATCTTCGCAGGGTTAGTCGCGCAGGTGAGAGTTACGTCCGCTGTGGCTTCAGTGGATATCATTACGGACGTCTGCATTATATATCTGCCGCTATTTGCTATCACGCAGCTACACTTGAGCCGCGTGAGGAAGCGGCGTGCTGCTACGGTGCTTTTGACGGGTCTTTTGCACTCGATCCAATCATCCTCTGCTTTTCCTCGGTGATCTGTATGTATGCTGCCAACGAATAACGCTTACAGCACAGTTGAAGCAGACATCAGAGTGATCTGCAGCTGTCTCCCTCTAATGGCCTCCCTGTTCAAGGGCGCGATGACTAGGAGGTGTTCAAGTGAGACCCAACGGGCAGGAAAATATCAATAGGAGCCTAGTAAGAATCTACGTGTCAACCTCTTACCATCCCCCTCCATAGATAAATAGGTAAATAATGAAATAGCTTCAGGGGTACTACATAGAGTCCGTTAGATTACCCTCAGCGAAATCCGCCATAAACTGCACGCCCTTATCCCGGTTATCACAGCCATAGTAATAGTCGACGCTGACCATACATCCATTCCCAAAATGCTTGGTCCCGCACTTCCCACAGCCCCCAATATTGCGAATATCCTGGTAAGCCTGCCACATCTCGTCGCCGGTGATCTTACAGTTTTTCCCATTCTGATCCGTGCCTCGGATTTTCACCGAGCATCCGAACCCGGCGTTGTTTGCCCAGCAGTTCCCGGACAGAGCGAGCGCCTCTGCATTGGACGTGTAGATCGTTTGGCCGCGGTTCATCTGGTTGACTGCCTTGTCGCACCACTTGACGTTGGTGGTACTGCAGAGCGTCTCGCCTTTGCAGTCGTATGGCGACGACCCGGTGCAGAAGGCCCCGGCACCCGGCTTGCCGTCGTCCCATTCGCTCGGGCACGGGTGGAAGACATTCGTCAGCGGCCCGTAGCCCTGAGCCTGGACGGAGAAATAGCTAGAGTCTGTGGTGTCGGTGCCAACGGGGAGAGTCCACGTGAAGGTATAGCCGTCGCGTTTGACTGGGGCGGCGCCTTTCGAGGACCACGCCCAGGGGTAGTTGGTTTGTCCTTCTGTTAGGTTGGCGCCGCTATACTCGTACAGGACCTCATTCTCGACCATGTAGTGAGTGCATATGAAGTTCCCGGTGTTGTAGTTGATTGGCCATGCCGGCATTTGACAGCGCGTGTCCGGGTCTGTAAGATAGACGCGCATAAAGGCGTACGGGACAAGGAAATCGGCCTGGATGGTGGTGGAGGTGGCTGATTTGCCGACTCTGACATTCGTTACGGCCTGGTTATTGGGCAGGCTCTGGGTAGTAGCAGACACGGAATTCGAATCTCCGGTCTCCTTTCCGTCTGTCCCGATAGCCCGTACGGTGAAGGACATGGAGGATCCTGGGCTGATGTTGCCGATTGTCACCCGGGACATTGTCCCCGGGAGGTGAGCAACTTCGTTCCCATCGCGGTAGACCGCGTACGCGTGTGGGGCCTCTCTGTTAGAGATATCCCACTTGAGGCTCACGGAGGAATAGTCAGAGGCGGTCACTGATAATGGGCCCGGCGGAAACGCAGCATGCCCGTCGGCTGGATACGGGGTGGGATCTGCAACATCCGGTCCGCCACCCTTGATTGTGTCCGTAATGGCTTTCATATAGGCTTCATCGGGTAGGGTGTCGTACGGATTGGGGAGGAGGTCGTTCGTAATGTGGACAAGGCCGGCTCCGCGCTTTAGGGCCAGCGCGGCAACCTTTCCCGCGTCCGCCTCTGGTACGCCGTAGATAATATGCCAGAGCTTGCGCGGGTCCTTGGGTGTCCAGCCAGGATTGGGGACGTAGTTGTTCATGTAGGTGTCGTAGCTCTGCTCAAACGTCATGAGGGTGTCGGCGCTGTGATATCGTTAGTCTTCTCTTTCAGGATACTCCATGGATAAAAAACATACCTATGCTCAAAGCACTGAGGCATGGTAGCACCGGGATTGAGCACGGTAAAGGCTCCGGGGTGCTTTCGCTTCGTAGCATCGGTAATAAAACGATACAAATCTGCATACAGATTGTCTGGCCCACAGTCGTTCCAGCCCTCGTCGAAGAAGATCCCGCCGATCTTGCCGGGATACAACTGGTACCACAAGTCGACGTCGGTTTGGATCTGCGAGACCCAGTCGGCAAGGTCGGTCGAACCAAGCCGGGTCTCGAAGGCCTGCTGGCTTTGACCTAGATACCCTGTCCGCACATAGCCAAGGATCCGTTTTCCCGATGTATGGGCCCGGTCGATGACCTTTGCCCAATCCTCATTTACCGTCGTGTCCGGGCCGTTGAGGACGTTGGCGACCAGGACGCTCACCTTGCTTGATGGGTAGGCAATCATGCGATCCCAAGCGACTGGGTCAGCGAGCGGATTGACGTACGATGCTAAGGCGATTTGTTCTAAACGCAGCGATATCAGATTTTTCTTTTTTTCTTTTTCCCAGACAAATGACCTGGAACTGCTAGGGCGATACGTACGGCCGTCTCCAGCCCCATTATTATTCCCATAGTTGGGGCACGAGCCGAAGGTGAACGTCTCCGGGATTTCTGGAAACCCATGATCTTGCTCGTTCTTATTGACCATTTCGTAGATGATCAGCGAGGCAATGAGCTCGTGCAGCAATATCTGGGGATGGAAAACACGCCCGTATCTAGTCACCATCAACGTCAAGGTCTCTCGCGACAAGCCAAAGTCTTTGTCTTACCCGTCTGGAAGTAAATTTGGAATTCTCAGACCAAGAACACTGGCACTGCTGAGTAGTACCACATTAGAGGTGGCAATAGAGGCAGTAGAAGTGTCGGAGATCAAAGTCTGCTCTAAGAACTTGGCATCTGGATCTATTAGACGTGTAATCTGCGCGAATTCGTTCACGGTCCCCTCAAAAGTTCCTTCGAATGGCTGATTGTCGCTCCGTTTCCAGGGATTTAGGCCCAAGGGATCCTTCGTATTCAGCTCGTAGAACATGAGACCGGTTCTGTAGATGTTAGTATAAGCTCCGTTTGTGGTTTGAGATCGAGCACTCACCTTGTGTTGCTTTGGACTGTTGATTCGTCGACGCCGTTTTCACAAAAGCGGCCATTGAAAGAGCCTACGTAAGAGTCGTAGTCTACAAACTTGACCTGGGAACCGGCTCTCTTGACTGCAGCCGACTACAGAGCAATTTGAAGGTTAGTAACGGGTTAATAGATTAAGAAAGGAATCAAGACGAACAATTTGCGCGTTGGCGGCATCGACAAGGTCGTTCATTATCTTCCGATGAGCGCTCGTCAATTTCTGCGCGCCCTGAAAGAGGCTGGTTATTTTCTGGCGGACAATCAGTAAGTACTATGGCAAAAGGCATTCGTTTTCGGCCTACTCACATATATAAAGGTTGACCAGCTAACATTATCACACGCCGATGATAGATCTTCTGCAAAGAACTTGGCATACCTGTATAGGACTGTTAATAATGCCCAAAAGGACCAGAGTAGTATGGCAGTTACCCGGTGTAGTAAATCATCCCACTATCAATTGGTTAGCATTCAGACATCGATGAGGGTATTGTTACTGACTCTGGACTTAGCTTTCCCCTTGCTGCTGCAATAACAGAATCCAAGCTTTTGCTGAAGGCAGCCCCAGCAATGATGTCTCTGGTGCGATCCAACTGGTTCTCACAGCCATGAGCTAACGAGTCCCAGTCGAAATCCGCCGCCCATGGAAACAAGTCCGCGTTTTTCACAGCCGCTTCCTTTGCCATCTTCACTGCCTCTGGGGCCAGGGCGGCCCATCCAAAAATGCACTGGTTTAGAATGCTCGAGAGCTCAGCATCATTACCCCCTAAGATCCCACTCACGTCAGTTCAGTTCATGGACAGGGACTTCAGATATATACGTACCGATTGATAGCAAGATGACTTGCTGGTTCCCGCTGATTTGAGGGATCTGTTTGTCGAGGACATCGGCTGTGACTGCACCAGAGCAGGACACGAACTGAAAAGTGCGTGCTGCTGGGTCGCCCAGTTGTGGATCGTTATGAATGAGATAGGGATAGGAGTGATCATAGCGACTGCAAGCCCAATCTTTCAGGTGGAACAAATCATCTATTAGTCCATGCGCCACAGCCTTGGGTCAGGAAGAGATTGATCTACCGGCATCAGTTTTAATCCGGTCACCAGCGCCTATTCCGGCCGAGTAGGAGTCGCCGATGGCGGCCATTCTCGTGATGAAGGAAAGGTCTGTCTGATCGAAATCAGCGGTATCTCTCGCCATGAAGCGCTCGTAGTTCATGCTTGCGTTTCCTCGCACATCCCAATATACAAGGGGATTCGCAAGGGCGCAACTCCCAAGGGTAGCAATGGCCGCCAGGCCATGCCATAGTTGCCCGTGCATATCGAACAGGGGAGGCGAGTAGGCGAGGAGACGGGCGAGAAGGGCAATACAACTGAAGAGTTCACAGACATGAGAGACTTCTTATAACAACTTTCATGGACTGAGAGTAGTTTTGTGGAGTGCGCCCTTTCGGGTTCGCCTCCCCCTTCCTATCCATGAGGACGGTACTACCCCTATCATCGCTGCTACCCTACAACTTGGGTGGTCAGACGAAATATGAAGAGGAACTAGAGATCCACCACCATGAGGCGCTTTTTTTTGATAGCAGATACTAGCTCATGGTTAGGACACTTTTCGGTCACGAATTGACTTCTTCCGAACTTGGTTGGTATGAGCTTCTGGACTGAGACACAATCATAAACGAGAAAGCCCAGTTGGGACGCTAAGTATGCCCCCGTCAACGAATTAACCGACCCTGTAACTAGGTGAAAGGGTCGGTTAAAAAGTATTTCTCTTGATTTCGTCGCGTGCCCGACGCACGAGGCACGCTAAACCAGTAGATTGGTAAAACCCGCTGCTCGGAGGCCGTCCACAGTCCGGTGAACGCTGTTGGCGCTAGGATGAAGTGCTATATTAGTGCAGGGTCTAGTACCTGGGCATGGACCCTGCGGCTGATTGCTTCATTTCTATATACAGGATAGTTCACTTAGGTTAATGCTTTGTGGCGTGATCTTAAATCTGTAAATGACTCGTAAATATCGCCTAGAGTTTTTCCATCCATATAATACTAAGACCCTTCTAGTGGATCACGAAGGGTCCACGGCCTACTTTGGTACTAGTATCACATATTAGATTGAATTTGGGCAATTCTGAGTTGAAAAATACCATATTGGCTACAGTACGCAAGATTAAATGTAACCTTCCGAGTAATTTCCTCATCTGGCGCCAAGCATCTAGCATATATTGCTGTTACTTTTGGAAGAAACTGTCTCGGAGGATGTACGCTATGGTAGTAGTACTAGCATCATGGAAGGACCCGCTGAGAAGCCTGTCTGGGAGTGTCCTAAAATATGTAACATCCTGGGAGAAGACAGCCTAGTGCACCGCATTCTCCATTCTGAGGCTGGCGCTGGCCGCCAAATGAAGATGGTAGGATGTCCGAAGCGACAAATTGAAACCCCTTCCTCGCTAGTACCACCCGTTTATAATCGAAGTCGAGCGGCAGAGAGTTTTTCTTAAAAGGCAGTAGGCTTGCTGATGAAAGCCCACACTGTGAGGGAATCATAAATAGCTACAGGATTGCCGTCGTCCACTGTGCGTGGGTATATAAAAAGCCCAGCTTTCAAGAAGAAAAGGAAGACGTATTTCGAGCCCTTGGCCATTGTCCTTGCGTAAGTGAATCCCCTATGCTACCCAGCAACTCACATAGTGGCTCATGTATTTCCAGCTCTGCGTCGGTCACAGTCAACTTGAGCGCTCGCCTTCAACAATGCTCTTCCCATCTGTCCGAGATGCCGGTCTTTTAGTCCTTGGGGCCTTGATCGCGTTCAACCCTATACTCAGTGGTGCTAACGATGTTTCGGTACCCAAGGACCCGCTTGGCCCGCTCAAAGTCACCCTCGACTATGGCCTTGCAATAAATTGGCCACGGGAACAGAACGCCAACATTAAAAATGCCAAGCGCAATTGGCAATATAGCAGCCACATCGTGTTTGCGAGTCCCGTCGGGAATTCTGACGAGAAGAACCCTCCAATCTCAGACGGGCAGCTCTGGCAAATCGCGCGAGATGCGGTCGACGAAATGACAGCAGACCGAAAGCAGTATGGCATCGTCAGAGATGAGGCAGAACCCACAGCGATGGGAATTCTGGCCTGGGGCAATGAAATCATCCTTGCCTCCTCTATGAAGGGAGCGGGCCATTTCTCCTATGACTTTCTTAACGGCCAGACGCCAGTCGGCAGAAGTCTTCAGGAATGCCAGATGGTCTGGCGAGATAAGACCGGCAACGAGAATCAAATACACACGAACCGGGGTAGTTGCGCAGAGCCTATGGCGGCCCATCTATACTATAGAAATAACGATGTCCCCCTGAAAGATCGAAAAGCGAGGGTTGGCACATGGGTCAAAGTGGGCGGAGTGCGCGGTGTATGGTCCCAGATAGATCCATGTGGAACTGGCGAGGAGGTAAGTAACCAATGTCCTCATGAGTATGTCTTTTCCAAAGGCCGACTAACAAATGTGCAGGAATTTTGGGGCTGCAATCTTTTCACTGAAAATCAGGGGCTCAGAGTCTTAGATAAGAACACACCGCCGGAGCCGTACACGCTGGCAAACCTTGCAGGAGGCCCGATCAGGATCGACCAGATTCAGTTATGCGGGGGTGACCCCAGAGTGTTTTTTTAATACTAAATAGTGGTCCGACGAGATATCGGCGGCAGAAACTAGAGCTATAATTACATTTGATCTGCTCACTTGAGTTCTTCTTCTATTATTTGAACCTGGATTCCCGTCTGGGCTCCTATGTCTCTGAGCCCCTCTATCAGCTCAGGGTCCCAAGCCGGCACTTCATTTGCCCTCGTCAACAGACGAAATCCTCGGAGGCGAGGTGTGAATTTCTTCCAGTCTTGTAGCCATGATCGAACAGCCCCCAGTAGGTATTCAGTCTCGTAGTCCCATTCCCATTCTTGCTGGAGACATAGATCGTCAGTGACGGTCAACCATTCAATGTTTTCTGGAAGTGCTTCCTCTAGGCCAACTACATTTGGCGTCGATGGAGAAAATCCAAGCAGAAATGGAATTGGAACTTCCAAAATTTTCAGCATATGGAGTCCGCTAAAAGTTTTAAAAGACCCGCGGAATGTGACCTCCGGGTGTTCAGGGGCTGATTCTGAGAGGTCTGTCGCTGCCGTAATAGTCAAGTCTGTCAAAGTCTCTTGTACGTGAGATAGATCCGCGGCGATTTGGTCCAAATTGATGATATCTGTGACAGAATGATCTTTGAGATCTCTGCGGTAGTACCAATCCCACTGAAGCTTCCGAAGCCCTCGGGTGACTGATAACACTTGACCGAGAGGCCCTTCGCGCAACATCGTCAAGTCGAGCGATGCGAGTTTTGATGGATTTGGTGAATATTTCCCGGGCCACATGAAAGTGGCAGCAGGGTTATCAACTAACGTCGTTATCTGTTCTACTGACGGCAAGTAGAAGAGGGGGAGGACATCTGCCGTGTTCCTGACGTCCGTGAACCTGCGAATGTGGAGACCCAAAATGTTGGGATACACAACTGACACATCTTGAAGATGTGTAAAGGAAGGGAGATGGATATTTTGGGACTCCTCGCAGAGTGCTGAACGGAGCATCATGCCCATGAGGCGGCTCTCTCGGGTAAATTTCTTGTCTAGATAGAGACGTCTCAGACTGGGGAGCTGTGATAATAAGAGCGTGACAAACGCGTCCATTGTTCCGGCGCGCAACTCTTGGATCCACTGTTCAGCATATGGAATACGGATCCTTTCGATKCATTTCACTAGCTCGTCCAAGACAACCTCAGTGACTGGGAGTTTGGGACTTTTCTTGCTATACTCCCGCGGGATGAGATCCAAACTGTCCCCATTGAGGACCACAACTTGGACAAAATTGGCAAGCTCAGGCCTGTGCACAATGGTTCGCAAAAACTCAGCGATCCGGGGGTTCCGAGAGTCTGTCCACGTCCATTGAATCTGGGTGTAGAGGAATGGCTCAGCGATTATACGGAACCTTTTATTGACAAGACATAGTGCATGGAGTTCAGCAGATGATAGTAACTGGAACACCAAGTACAATATATCTGCTGGGCAGCTCTCTAGGCCGGATGCTGCTTGATGTTTCTAGTGATATTAGTAATAACCTTGAACACCCCCCATTGATCACATACAGGTTTCATTGCCAAGGTTGTAAGCTCACTGCTCTTCTGTGTATGCGTAGGCAAAGAACAGTGAAGAACTGGTATGTGGGAACTGATGGATAACAAAAACCGAAATGTGAGAAAGGTGTCAGGGAGTCCAAGTGATAGTTGCTCTAACTCTGACCTTTGATGCTCCGTCGCCGTTGATTAGACTCGGTACCTACGCTAATAATTAGTGTCTCTGGAGCGATCCGCCAGATTCAACCTCATTCGTGGATTTCAGCGGTAAAACTGAAATCAATCTACCTACTTTCCTAGTCGGGAAAAACCAACTAAAGGCACTACTTGCCCCACCAAGATTGTGAGACATTCGGTCGGCTACATCGGGAGGTGTGGGGGGGGTCTCGTTGGGCCATCCGAATTCCCGACCCCATAAGTGGGTCCGGGGGTTTTTCCAAGGTTCTTGGCAAACCCCCGAAAGAAAAGGGTAATAGCTTTTCAAAATTTCACCAGGCTGGCCATCGTTTTCAAGATTAAGATCCAATTCTTGATTTTTTAAGTATATGTACCTTCTATATAAATTTTTAGATGACTAGTACGTAGTAGTACCTAGGTACACTTACCAGTTTAGGTGGTCGCAAACGCTCTCCGCTTCCTCCAAACTCTGGTCGCTTACCCGATGCACACCACATAAACTACCTAGTATCTTGTGTTGACTTTCGTGCCAACGAAAATATCGAGATACCGAAGCTCAACCTACCCACATACCACACGAATTAAAGGGCGATTAGAGAGGATGCATGCATGCATGGGAGAGATCTGCTTCGATGGCAAGAGCAGAACCTACGCAGGAGGCTATAAATCACATGAAAAATATTCTTCGAGATACTCTCTTCCTGTTCAATCATCCTAGGTCTAGATCAATCACGAGATGGTCACAAAATTTACTGCACTAGAGGCAAATTAATTTCCTTCTCTCCTGTCTCCAGGCTAAACTAAGGTCTCAGGCATTTCTGGAACAGAACTATCAAGTGATAGAGTGATGACTTGACCAAAATAATACAGGTTATCATGCAATTGGCCTATCTCATGGACATTTACAAGCAGACTGAGCGGAAATTAGCACTGAATTAGGAAAATGCCGCAATATTATCTGATAGTGTTCGTTCTTCGCCGGTGGCAACAGTTTCGGAGAATACCTAGGCTGCTTGTATGGGCCAAGCCTGGATCGCCAAGGCCCTAAAGGGACTGGGGTACCTCAGTCATTCACCGAGAGAATGAAGGAAGAAGATTGGCCCGGAAAACAAGACCATTGCCAAGCCAAGAGAAGCTATGGCTAAGCGAAGCTTAGTGCAGAACCTCATCAGCGTCTTATTGCTCATGTCTCACACCAATAAATATCTGGGTACCTGGACTAGTCTACTGGTGCTATTACCAACCCATGGCTCATGCACTGTAAAATTCTCTGCATGTCCGCATTGCCAAGAACTAGGACTCAAACTCTCAAGCTAACAGCTCTTAGAGTCGGAGCAACCCGATAGGACTGGACTCGCCATCAATCTAAGATAACCCTTTTCAAACTACTACTACTTTTTTCAATCTTCCGTGACCTGCCCTCTAGGTTTTTTCTCGGAGTTCTGTGTTTGCGGACGGCTGTGGATCCTGTCTGACTGCTGTTGACTATCTTCGACGGACCCGAGCATACATTTTGATTGCCGCATGATCGATAGTGGACCCCTATGCGCTTTGTTCAACGGTTGACTGCTAGGATGGTATCTAGTCCGTGTTTCCTGTTGATTGACTTGGAGGGTGTCTCTACAGTAGTCGGAGCATCGGGAATCCAAAGAAGCGGTATACCTGGAGCATATACAGGGATCTTGGTTCGCCAACACCTCAATATCTCGCTAAGCAGCTCTCATTACCTAATTACAATTGTCTTGCTCGGTAACACAGCAGACCTGGTCTAACATAGATCAGTAAGTCTCTTTATGAATTGAAACGAGATGTAGTGGTGCTACTAATCTTGCTGCATCTCTCTGCCAGTTTGATATCAAGTTTGGTATGTAGCAAGATCTACACTGTGAGATATGGACATCAGAGCATTTGCTCTCTAAGATTTTGTTCATCATTGTAGTCCTTATACATCCTTCAATGACCATTATAACCTCATAAGTAGAATCGTCCGGCTACAGTCATGAAATACCTTCCTTTTTCCCCTCTCGTCTCTTGTTCTGAGCAAGGCTATTCTGGCTCCTAACAGCGCCGCCCCGCGGAGATGCTAAACCCCTCCACCCCCAACTGAATAGATTAGGCTAGGATATAGAGGATACAATCTTTTAAAAGGGTCATTTATGCCCTTAGCTGTGGTCTGCTAATTAATCTATCTACTAATTTAATGATAAAAAGCATAATTTCTATTAGTATACTGATAGGAACATGCATAAAGCTATGCTAGATACATGTGATGAAAATCTTAGCTGTAAAGGAATCTATCAAGAGGCAGTTTCTAGACTCTAGTAGTACTAGCCTAGTAGGCAGTCAAGTGACATAAAGCCAACACTCCTCTCGTCCCTCATTGCTCACTCACCCTGAGCTGTCTCAAAATCTGATCCGCAACCGCTGCCACGCGATGAAATCAATCCTCCCACAAATCTTGTCTCTTTGCACCGCTGCACTTGCTGCTACTGCCAAAACCAACCCCATACAGCAAGAATTGCTCATCGGCGAGGACATTATGGCCCAACAAGACAACAGAGTCCCCGGCCATAACGATGCCATCTACGACACCGTGCCTAAGGATGACCAGATATTCGAGGTCGAGTTCCTAGAGATTGCCCCAACACCCATTAACGCGTAAGATCTCCCCTCTCCTTAAAGTACAGCTTAATCTTATTTTATAACATTTTGATGTTAACATCCTGATGAAGCGACCGTGTCTTCTTCGTCTACCTACGCGGTTATCTACCTGAATCTAAAAAGAAGGAGCTAGCACTTCCCGACGAGGGCCTCATTAATGCGACCCTCAAAGTGAGCGCCTCTGCTATCTACCCAGATGGTAGTCATGACAACGAAGACTCCACTACAGGGCCATTGAAGACTACGCCCTTTAATGATCTAGCCCACCTCACTATTCATAATGCCTGTGGAGTACAGGTTGACTACATGCCTAGTAGCGGCCGCAGCGATATTTTACTGGATTTCCAGATTCCTACAATGTTTTTGAGGAGTGGTATGTGGACTTACAAGGTCGATGCGCGAGTCAGAGATGTAGACAATACATGCCTATTTGCTATGAAGTTGACACAATGGTCAGAGGGGGGGCTTAAGTAGGATATTCGGAATAATCTAGAACCTCCATGACACAACTTCTCTCACAACATTCTGTAATTTCCTGTCAAGATTTGGAATCCGCGCGAAGACCTTTGAGGGATGTGGAGGAGGAGGAGGGGAGGGGAACCCCCAACTGAATAGATTAGGCTAGATATAGAGGATACAATCTTTCCAAAGGGTCATTTACGCCCATAGCTGTGATCTGCTAATTAATCTATCCACTAATTCGACGACAAAAAGCATGAGGCAATGTCTGTTAGTATACCGATAGGAACGTGCACAAAGCTATGCTAGATGCATGGGATGAAAAGCCTTAGCTGTAAAGGAGTCTGACCTTAGGTTGCTTCCACATTATAGTGAGATGGCCACAGCTCACTGACATTAATTATATACCTATCTATATACGGATATATTGTATATAAATTCTGGGAAATTGATTTGTATTTAACCGGAGAGTATTTAACCAAAGTCTGCGGCCATAACTTGATGGTCCTAATCAAATCGGCCTCTGCACTAGCTATAAATCCTTATGGCAATATGTAAACACCTATTACACAATAAAGCACTAAATCAATGCGTATGAAAGCCTCGGAAATGAGACATTAGCGAAGAACGAGCGCGAGGCGTCCGGACTTCAACGAGTCGGACGGCATTAGGAAGGTTACATTTCTGCGTCTAATCGTGGCTTGTGCTACCTAAGAAACCGTCCATCGACCGGTCATAGTTAAGCAAGTACGCAGATGAGTTCCTGCTCATGCTCCGATCTCCTATCTCTATCAACCTGAGTACATGTTAAATCGATCTATATCATCCAATGGAAATTCCGAGGTACGTACAACCTTGTTATAGGATTGCACTACTACTTCCAGCTCAGCAAGCTGCTCAGTTAAAGAGGACTTGCGAACTTTACGCGCATTTGTCGATCTGCGTATATCCCCATTTAACCATATAAAGACTGAGTTTGAGTCCTATAATTTGAGCACTTTCGCAGGGGGGAATGCGGACAAAGACCATATCCCGTTATGTTCGACGCCCATTGTAAGCTAGACATTGAGCGTCTGATTTGTGGATGCGTTGAGCCATTTGACTATGGGCAAGTGCCTCTAATGGACGAGGATAAACATTAGAAAAGTTCAACATCCAACTCGATTAGCTCGAGTTGAACTCCAGCGTGAGCACCTAGCTCCCTGAGCTGGTCCCTCATCCTAGGGGACCATTCATCGTAATCACATATCCAGCTTAGTAGCAGAGTAATTCCGCGAAGATGCGGCGTGCATGCCGTCCAATCCTTTAGCCATGATTGAAGCAAGCCTAGAATGTCGCCATTCGTCCACTCCCATTCAGGCCATTCGTCTACCATTCTACAATCATTCTGTGGCCTCAAGTCGTCCGTGATGGTTAGAAATTCGATATTCCTTGGAATCACATCCTGCAATCGTTTCGTCATGTCCAGCGCGAACCCCACCAGGAATGGCCAGGGGACTTGAAGTCTCCTAAGCATGTCAAAATTGACCATCCCTTGGAACGAGCCCTCTGTCTTTATGCCAGGAAGAAGTTGGTCATTGCCTCCTAAGTCGCACTTGGCTGAGAGGCTCAAATCCGTCAGAGTACCACGAGCATGAGATATCGCAGCTACAATCTGGTCAAGATCAACGATAGGCGTAACGACCCTATCCCGAACACCAAAATCATAATACCAATGCCAGCGAAGGGTTTCAAGATTCCGGGTGACTGCAAGCAGTTCACCAAGATACGCCTCCCGGACAACGGTCAACTCAAGTAACGTGAGCTTCGATGGGACAGGTAAGTGTGCTGCAGGCCATATAAATTCAACTGGGTTCTCAATCGAAGCTGACATGCGTTGGACACTCGGTAGATAAAAGAATGGCAAGATATCTCGTGTATTTTTGACTTTCTTATCGCGTGCATCATCCTTACCGTCGGGTTGGAGGAAAGAGACATCTCGGAGATGCCGAAAGTCGGGCAGGCCATAATCCACGGGCTCACAGATCGCTGATCGGAGAACCATACCGACAATTGCAGTCTGTCGAGTGAACTCGCGGGCAAGGTACAGATATCTCACATTCGAGAGCTGTGCTAATAGGAGAGCAACAAAAGCATCCGGTGTACCTTGGCGCAATTCCTGTATCCAAAGGTCGCTATAGGGGACTCCAGTCCCGTGGATGAATGCCACCAGTTCTTCAAGTTCAGCGCCGGAGACGGGAAGTTTAGGAAATCTGAATCGAAAATTATGGAGATAATAGAGCTTGCCGTCAAGGTGAACGTTTGTAATGTAAGCAGCCAGCTGAGGCCTGGATACGAGTGTCCGTAAGAGTTGAGTGATTGGGGGAGGAGGATCAGGCTGAGCTTCTGGCCAAATCATTCGAATTTTTGAGTAAAGGAATGGCTCAGCGATTGTGCGGCACATTTTATTAACAAGACATAGTGCACGGAGTTCAGTAGATGATAGGAACTGGAACAATAAGTATAATATGTCTGCTGGGCAGCTATTTATACTGGATGCTGCTTGATGTTTCTACTGACGTTAGCGATAACCTTGAAAGTAGGCGCATTGACAAAATACAGGTTCCATTGCAAAGGACAGCATTGGTGTAAGTTCACTGTCCTTTCGGCTATGCACACTCAAGACGAGTGAGAATCTGATGGATAGAAAACTGGAAAGCAAGAAAGGGGTGAGGGAGCCTAAGCAATAGGTAGTCACTGTAACCCTAAGTTTGATTCTCCATTGCTATTGGGCTTAGGGCTTTATATATAGAAAAAGGTTGCTAGGTACCTAGGCTTCAGCAGGAAAAAGGTCAGTAGATATTAAACCATAAATCACGTTAACTTTAAAGGGTATAATACTTAAGAATTAAGATAATTAAAGGTATTAAGTAATAATATTTCTAACTAGTTATTAACTAGTTAGTAAGGCTATATATATAAAAGTTTTAAAAATAATTACAGCATGAAATAAATTAAATAATAAGTCTAAGTGTTTATAATTTTTTTAGTGAGGTTGGACTGACCCACTTTAGGTTACCTAAACTCCTCCAAAGGGTGGTGTCACCTGTAACCTGATCTATCCTGGGCCCTCTTTTTGAATAGAGAGATTAGAAGTATAAGCAGATAAGATTGTGTGGTTGTAAACAGATTTAATCAGAAGGTGCACAGAATCTAATAATAAGAATGCGAGTGTGCTGATACCCAAGCGCCAGTATATCATTCCTGATGTCATGAGACTCATGACAAATGAGCTCACGAAGTTCAGAAGGAAGCCATAAAACTCTTTCACCTTCAAAACGAACCCAAGATATTTCAACTGATATTCGAGAGCCTTGTTCGTGCTCCATATGAGAATTACCTGACAAGACCTTCGGAACCAAATTGGAAAGGTTCGCAGCTCTGCACCAGTCTGGGTATCCCAGAGCTTGATAGTTATATTTTGCTTGACAAGAGCTTATTTCAGTTTCTAAGGGGCCAAAGCGGCTACGACTCTCATGATACTATGGGCTGCGGCGGGTCCGTCGCCAGGTCGCCCGAGCCTGCCACTGCACTGCATGTAGCATATTGAAATTCCTCTGCGCAGGTACACATCCCAAGACTAGTAGGCCCCAAAATGTATTTAGCGACCATAAAGTTCCTCCACCTGTGTGACATCTTCAACAAACGTAGCGCCATACTCTCTCATGATCTGTATCTTCTCCTCCATATTCATTGCTAATCGCATTCTCCCAAAATCCCTTGGCAGTTGTTCGGCACTCATAAACCTCAACACCCATACGCCCACTCCATCCGTCGGCCAACCAAACTCCACCACCTTTTCTTCTTCCTCCGTCATCTCCCTCATGCCAAGCTGCACCTCGACCCAATCCTCCCTACTCGGCCACCATGTCGCACCAGTCCGTCGCAGGAGATTACAGAATCTGTCTTCTTCGTCGGCACTGGGTGAGCGCAGTGATACATGAGAGCGGGGGAGCGATAGGAAAAGCAGGTCGAGAAGGTCAGCCTCTTTTATGAGAACCCCGCCAGTGGAGGGGTAGCCGTAGATAAGGCATCCTCGGGTGCCAAACTCAGTGCGTTCAGTCGTCGATTCAGAAGGGTTCGTGGGGCATGAGACGTCCTGTGAGTCGCCCATTACTGTTCGTTGACGAAAAATAGGGAAATGATTTATGTTGATAATGGTTTGTTGGCAGAGAGTCAATAGAAAGGTAGAGATGATGGCGACGAGCATGCTGCTAAACCTCATGCTTCAATAAGGCTACAAACAGGAGAAGACCAATGTTGGGTATACGTGACTGGACCTCAGAAGCTCATGAGCGCGCTCTCAGGGTCATGCGGATTACCGTCTCAATATGTAGGAGTTGGGAGAAGCTCCCTTCAACTGATCGGGCAGGAACCTTGACATATACAAGTAGGTATTGTTCTGCCGAGGTCTACCTAAGGTCTTACCTTAGCTTCGTTCTCACAATCCTGTAATTCTCTTGGCCACTAGACTAACTTTGGCTAGTGCCGACCAAGTCTCCTGTCCAGTCAAGCATAAGGATAGATTCCGCTCTTGGCGAAGCTAGACCCCTCTTTACCAATGAAAACACCAGCCCTGATAGATTTTATTGAATCGATACCAGACACCAGACAAGAAGCTATTGGTTTTACAGACGGAGAGCACGAGGCTTGCAGCCCGACGTGTGTCGGAAAATGGTCGGTGTGGTCCGGCAGAAAGAAGGTCAGCGGGTGTCAAACCATGAGTTAATTTCAAGGTGTATGACACCCGTTTAGCATATACCATGCCTATATTCTCAGATACCACCACCGCCACACTAATTTCCAACCCTGGGTTTCCCCCAGGTGCTAACACTTGCGCGCGGACCAGGAGGTTCCAGGGGTTCAGATTATAGGGGAAAACGCATGTAGTTGATGCAGAGAGACCTCAGAAGTAGTCTGCTTACTAAATAGGATCATCATGATACTATAAACCACTTTCTGAGTTATTCCATCAATACCGCGTCATTCCCTTGACCCATAACCATATAAGGCTTGCATTTCCATCTTTTCCTTTGCTTTCTGACAACAACTCCCAAAATGCCTGTCGATAGAGACCCATATGTCTGCTGCGTACTGTGTGGGATAGAGTGTGCCTTATACATAGGAGCTGAATTGAAAACAGCGCATAAAGACTGGGGGGCATGGGCAGCACGAAAATTCAACAAGAGGAAGAGCCTCATTGTGCCAGCAGTCGAGCTTGAAAACTTGGATCTGGAAACAGATCCCCCGATGTGGTCCTTTTTTTACCGTGCAAGTGAGTGATCTATACTATTTTCCATCCTCTGCTGAGCCACGCCTCACGCAATAGTACCTCTAGTCCTTGATGATCCAAAGACAGGCCGCCTGTCAATATCTGGAATATCTCCACACCTCACGTCGGACGGGAAGAAGCCCCGCGTAATGATCGATTCAGATAAGGCGCTGGTCTTTCCTGGGCCCAAAATGGGCCGTCAGAGATGGAACATGGATTTTCATATGGCCAATCTCTTTGAGGCCGACCGGAATAGAAAAAAAGGTGCGCGTATTGGATATGTCATGCATCCACACTGCTGGCTACTGGTTGATCGGTTCCTGGGACACGACGTCGTGATGCAGGACCTGCGCGCATTTACACAAGCTATCGAGATATATTGGAGAGCTGACCGAACACTTTGGATGTCGGACCTAGTCCATGAAACTGATCAATATCCATGCTATGAAAATGCGGCACCCTGGATCAAGCAGAACTGTCCCCCATATGCGGCAGGAGACTTGTACCACACACACGTGTCCTCGAGTCCACTTATAATCCGTGATATCCAAACATTGATCGCAATAGCTACTCAAGAGCACGAGAAAACCCTTGGCCACGCCGTGAAGTTGCATTCTATCGTTGCTGATATTCCTGTCGAAATCATAATGATGATCGTTGATACGATCTACCAGAGCCGTCCACCTTGTCACGAGAGAATCCAAGATACTCGCAACATGCTAGAGGCCTTTCAATGGAAACTACCTGATTCATACTGGCAGAGGCGCTGCAACCCTAACCTTATATTCGAGGTGCAAGACATAATTAAAGCAGGGACACAAATCGACTGGGCATACTTCTGCCTTGGATTACATGAGCTATTGTTGCAAGAGGACTGGTACTGCAATAGTGGATTGTATTTTCGTGGCCGGATCCTGTATCTCATTGAATGTATTAGAGGGAGCCTTTCAAACACAATCTAGGTATCGAGAATGTTATTCAACCAATCCCATAGGCTGATAATTAACATTGTTCCTTTGTCGACCCGTCAACCAGAATATGCCTATCATTTCCACTATGTAGAAATGGTCGTCTAGACCCTTTTTCTAGCGGCAGTGTATTGATGGCTACCTAACATGACCCAATCAATAGTCACAGCCAGTGTTGAGTAAAACCAAGTAATATTGTCTGTCAATCAAGACACAGAGTAGATCTAATCCATTGACATGCACTGGGTACCTGAAAGCTTTCTCCTTAATGTGTGTTACTACATGATAATAATTCAAATGTTCTATAAGTGACACCATGAATCAGACCCATAATGCCAAACCAAACTTGAGAGGTTGTTCTCAGTTATTCTCCAGGCATATATGTCTATTGATGGGCTTTAATATGACTTAGAACAATAGTATACTTAGTACAGTATGTCAAAGACATCTTTATAAATACTGTCTACAGTAGGTTACCTTCATTAGACATCTTGGAGATATTAGCCACTACATACTTTCTGCGTGTCGTTCTCCTCGTTAGTTTCGAAGACATCTACTCTGCAGGTCAGAGGTGAGTGTACAGGATACAATGATGCTATAGAAATTAACGTCTAAAAGTGTGTCTATAGCCCAATTCTTCATCACCATGGCCGCACCTGCACGCCCCAATCCCAACACCGCCGGGACAACCGTATGTTTCTGAGGTGTCTCAAGAGTATATGTTTATGCGCTAAATCAGTTGATTCAGTACCTTAACATACCGTCTGTTGCAAATGAAATCCGAGCTATTCGTCGCAGCACGGACGAGGGCCATATAAGTGGCATCTGGAATGCCATTTTGAACTGGACATTCGACCCTGTGAACGGGTACATAACGCGCCCACAGAACATGCATAGAGCCCGTGGAAGAAGAGGGTTTTCGGACTTCCACACCCTTCAGTATTTTGGCGCCAATCGCCGGTTTTTTCTGATTACGCAGTGCAAGAGACCGACGCCAGGGGACGCAATCTGGGAGGAGGGCCGTCAGCAGCTCGATCGGTACCTTTCAATGCAGCATCGCACTCGGCCGGCGAATGCGAGACCCAGAGTCTATGGTATTCTGGCAGTGGGTCGGTATGTGCGTTTTTACATCTACAGCGATAACAGACAAGGATGTAACAGTTGGCGTCCTGGGCGGCAATGGGCGGAAACACACGAAGATCAAAGAGGTTATGATATTCTGAATGAAGCTCATCTGGTACAGAATGCCTTGCGTTTCATCCTGAATAACCATTAACAACATTGTATCTAGTGGAGAGCTCTCTGCGAGCATATTCAGTCTCGCGAGCTTCAGATAGGGCAGCCAGCAATACCAAGAAAATAGGTAGTATCTCACGCGGATTCGCCGCTTCAACATACTTTTCATGGACGAACAACATAATCGCCAGGGGATTATCATGCATGCCATAACCGAGAGTGTGCGGCTGCCAACAGAGTTAGCGTTCGATATATATAGAATTGGCCAGAAGAGGGGCTTAGTCGAACGAACCCGAGCTCACATTTCAATCGCGTAGCCCATATGATTTTCAAGCCAATCTTGAACTCGCTCCTGCACCGCTTTTCGCGCTCTGTCCGTTCTATGCCATCGGGCAGCGAGCTGGGTGCAAAATTAGAATGCATAAGTCTGCAGGAATCGTTATAGTTGATTCCAAGTTCGCGGCAAACGAAATGACCCCAGCCTCCGCATGATATATCTGTCGTAGCCAAGCCTTTTCATTAATTTGTCAGAGAGTCGAGCAGTGTCACGAAGAGTCCAACCTGCGCGTGGGGTCCAGTCTGACCAACAGAACCCAGGCATGTTAGGGACAACCACGTGCAATGCTTCGTCGTCCTCATTTTCCGGCTGTGACAATGGCTTCCACACCTGACTGAATTCCCAGAACGAACCGGGCCAGCCATGAACGAGTAGCAGTGGGATAGCATCATGTCGGTTTGATTGAGCGTGCAAAAAATGTATGTTGACGTCCTCGACTGGCGTGATGAAGTGAGGAAATTCGTTGACTTCTTTCCGAACCGAGTACCAGTCATATTCATTTATCCACGCATTTATATAGTTTGTGGGTCCATTCTGAAGAGGGACCTTTGTTCCGATATCTCAGCAGCTATGGTCTACCTAACCTTGGGAATGCTCACCGTAACGTGTTCCGGCCCCAGGACCGATTTCACGAGGTGGTAAGCGAGTGTCTCGCAGCTTGCGCTTCAAGCGTTCTACCTCTGCGGACGGGACATCGATTTTAAATGGTTGAATACTGGCATCCATATTGTACTAGGCAGTGAGTGAGGGGAAACACTGACAACAACTCAACGACGCCAGAAGAATTTTGGCTCCAAATTATTGTAGAAGAATCGATGCAGGAGGCATTTGCAGTGTATATAAGATATCCACCTCCCAATGCTTCGTGGTGGTACCAAAGAAAACTATGCGAAGAATGAACCACTATCTATCTGGTGGACTCATCTCGGGGAAAGGCGCCCCTGTCTCCTCGTCTCAAAGCTGGCGCAGATGACATCACAACAACCTTGCTGTTGTGGATAATCCCTAAGGAAAATGTGACGCCTGACGTTTCCATGTTGAATCAGCCTCTCAACGTGTCGATTAAAGCATCGGACGTGGTTCCTTCTGGTTTGTCTCACACTGTTCAAAAGATTTGCTATCTTTAGACTAATAAAGTCAATATTAGCGCAAAGATTGCTGGCTGTGTTTGGTCGCAGGTGTACTGAACGCAACAGGCAATAAAGACCATACGTCCACTGCAGTTATGATGTGATATTGCTGCAATCTAGAGCATGAGCTACGCAATCCCAGCATGAAGCTTGGAAATGAGGATACTTCGATATACTGTTCGAGAGCGCCTGATGGCGGTGGTATGGGCTTGTGTGGAGGTCAGATACAGCGGCAATTTCCGCTGGCATTGTTCCATTACCAAGTGGCATGGTTCCTCGGGAAAAGTATGTATGCTTCTATAGTTATGCACAGGGCAAATTCTTGATAGATCCAAACAACCGAAAGACAGAAACATGGTAAATGTTAAGCCCATCGTTCACCATGTTCATCCCACACAACCGTTCTAGCACTAGGCTTTGTGCGCTCAGTAGCGACGTAGCTGATCAGCAATGCAGACTGTTCGACGACCAGATACTCTCTGACATTCTTCGATAAGCTCTAAAGTACGCTCTCGCTCTAGGACACCTTCGGTCACCAGACCGGCTACATAGAGGCACTGCGTCGAAAAAAGACTCCAAACCTCTCCAATCCCAAAATTGGCAATCATAACAATTTGCTGCCTTGAATTTTCGACCTGTCGGTGACTTAAGAGAGCCTTACTTTAGAGAATGTTGAGAGCCCCGGAGGGTTCTGGTCGGCGGCAGAAGGACAAGAAGATCTTTGAGGCGTGGTAGACCTGATGCGCAATGCCTGGTTGCACAGCTCGGTCAGCTGCAGCGATGATGAAATGTGCGAGGGCGCTTACCACTTTGAGGGTATGTAAACCATAATGATGGGAAGCCGTAACCATTTTCAAGCCCTATCGTTGACTGGAAGAGACTTGCAGCGGTCATTGATCGTGGCAACTTCTTTTCCACTCATCGAGGCAGCTTTCTAGCATATCTGCGCAGTCCCATCTGGCCTGCGATTCGGAGAGAGAACCATTGACGCATAAGGTGACACACTGCCCGAAAATAAAGATGACTCGATTAGCAATATCTTGAACTGAGAAACTGACATAAGACTCGACAGGCGGTGGCTGCCAGTAGCTTTCGTCAAGTATCATTGGACGGCCGGTCTGCAGCGCTGCCCAAATATCGTGTCGATAACATGTCCAATAGGTAGTCCTTCGAATGCCAGGCTGAGCCCCATTGACCCCGTAGGAAGAAATCAGACTGGCTACTCCTTGTAGATGAGAACCAAAACTGTCACCGATGTCATCTAACATCTCATAACTATACCGTCAGCAATGGCTCATGCATTCGAGGAGTGATAAGGGAATAGGCGTTTACGTGGAAAGAAGAATGCTCCAAGCGAGAATTTCATCGCTGCTTGCGATGTCCGGACGTCCTATCAATCCACTCATTGCAAGCAAGGCCTGTTGGTAGTAGCCAACCGCGTAGCGGTCATATAGGACTTGCTGTTCCTCATGGGCTGCAACTAGACTCATCTGCTCAACAGACATTGCTAAGCAGGAGTAGCAGAACCGGACATCGTAAGGCTAAGACGGGTACTATCCAGTGGAATGGCTGCTCATGCGAGACGAATCTATCTGGGGTCGTGGATACCATCAAAAACGGTCCAACAAACATCACACACCATCTTTGCTCACCCATCTAGAGACACGGTCAACGTAATTACGGAAGATCGGAATTTCATGATCAGAGAGCACAAGGTCCTGCTCGACATGAAGATTTGACGGTTGGTTGCCGGCATCGTCCCGAGGAATATGGTGTGGAATTTGTTCGCTTGTGTATAGACTGGTCGGGCCGATCACCTCATGAGACGCGATAGGTTCTGCCGCGGAAAAGCCACGATCCTTTCCAAGGTCACCGTGCTGAAGTATGGTTCTCAAGTTAAAGAGGAACGTCGGAGGGGCCGTCGATCTCTCAGGGACGGGCAAGGCGTCCGGTTTCCTGCGGGGGAGCCTTCCCAGAGCTCTGCGCAGCTAAACTGGACTCTTTTCAGGGTTCCCTTCCTTGGAAATGGGACTGAGGCGCCTGTGAAGGCTACCTTCATTGGCCATGGCGACGATGGGATGTTTTTATCTAGGGAAAGTATGGTAACCTGGGTTTTGGACGAAATGAATCCAATCAGCAAATGGATTGGTAAGGTGTCTGTGTTGTCGAATTAGCCAGGTGCATCAGTATAGGTGGGTGGAGGTGATTCTGGCTAATAGTTGCTTATGCTGTGGCATACAGTTTCAGAGAAAGGCTCACACGAGATCAAATCCAACGCGGTTGGTGTACGGTAGTCTTTGGTCTTTGGAGTTCCAATTCCGGGTCTCTCCTGAGGTAGCGTTCCCGGCTACTCTATCCGCAGCACCTCCAACAGTAGATATTCAAGCTGTACTTTTCACCAAAGCATTCGGTATCTCCAAATGTAGTGTCATTCCACTTAACGTTTTGAAATACCTGATTCCTGGAGACCGAGACTTGGCAGGGCCCGGAAAAAGTGCTTGGGGCCAGCTGGAAGCTTTACGGTCCCATTCGCCGGAAGAACGGACGCCAGTCGAAGACGTCGTCGATGACTCCAGCTGAAACTGGTCCATTAATGGATCGAGGAAAGAAAAGAGCTGTGTCGTGCCACTAGACGAAGCGGAGAAATTGAAGGTACGTTAAGAGTCAAGTAGGGCAAATCCACAGCTGAGTTCCCAGAATTTATGACCGGGATGGTGTAATAGTTCTCAGATCTTGGATTCAAGGACGCTCATGCCGGACGCGGATGCTCAACAGAGAGAGCTTGGGAGCCAAGGTTCAGTCATCTGTGAATGCTTTGGACTACACTTCGTCCGATGCACGCATTACAAACCTCTCGATAAGTACCCAGCAGCGTTGAAATAGCACTGGGAAACAAAGCTGGGAAAAAACCACATGGGACTCGACGCTGATCATCGCCCCGGCGTTCAACAAGAAGCCATTTTTGAATTGTTGAGCCGTCAGTCATAAACCAGAAAAGTGAGCGGAATATGGTGCTTCTATAAGGACTCTAGAGACTTCCACGCATAGCCCTATTAATGATGATATGCTGCCGAATGTCGCATAGTCAGAGGCGCAGGTGAGGGTTGCCGTGGGGTCTTAGTAGATTAGGAACGGAATATTTAGGAGGGTGAACAGTAGCCTGAATTAACCCTGAATAGGGCAGCCACACACTTAGAACATACCAAGTAGAGCCTAGTGACCACTACCATACTTTCACTATTGTAGCTTTCGATTCTTTTCATTCTTCAGTCTCTCATTCAGTTTTCACTCAGCTTGAGCCGAAGTCTCACTTGGTCGTCTGCTGGGCCGATGACGAATTCTTAGGTGCTATAGAGAGATAGGCTTCCAATTTATAGTCTAGGTCAGATTCCTATGGACACCACCTGAAATGGTTGACATTGGTAATATCACGCAACAAAATCTGCCAGGGATCGAAATGCGACCCATGCTGATATCAAAGAAGCATAACGGCTCATAGATACAGAGTAGTGAATGTAAGAAATGTGACTCGGCCGAAGGAAAAAAGACCCTAAAACTGATTCAAATGCCCTT